GGCCAAGAGCTACTGAGGCAGATCGCACCTGATGTATAAAATCATGTGGGTGAGTTCTTCATTTGGTTGGATCTACTATAGTTAGAGATAAATTACATGTAATTTTATGTGAAATTTTGAATAACTTGATCCCAAATAAACAAGGGCAGGACAGCCGAATTAGGAAAAAAAAATTACCGGGTGAAAAATTTTTCGTCAAGTTTTTTATAGGTGTTACAGTAATAATAAAAATAGCTGTAAATTACCAAAATGGGAGGAATACGGTGACCGCAAAAAAGGATCCGGAAAAATAATATGCAACAAATTTTTTCCTTATTTTCCATATATTATCGAAAATGGGAGAATACAGTAACCGCAAAAAAGATCCAGAAAAATAATATGCAACAAAATTTTTCCGTATTTTCTGAATTGCCAAATTATTTTTAAATGAATGTTAAAATAGTATAATTTATTTTAGGTTCAAAATCATCAAACAGGAATCAGCCTTTAAAAAATTAGCCGTATGATTTTCGGCCGATCTGGTTAATTTATTATTTTGGTATAATAATAATAGATTCAATAAATATTGGTACGTACGTATATGCCAATATTTATTGAATATATTTATACTGAACAATAAACTAACCAGATCGGCCGGCTAATTTTTTACTGGTGTTTCAGGAATTATGAAAACAGCTATAAAACGAATGCTAACGTTCTTAGCATTCATTTAAAACACAAATCATTGAAAACAGATCAGCCGTTTATGAAATATCAGTAATATTTTGACAAAGCAATTGCATATTTCAACTTTAATATTTGGCATCGTTTAATGGGCATATTTCATGAACGACTAATCTGTTTTGTGATTCCATTAATTCACTGAAAATTATTTTACTGTAAAGATGGGCACTATGCAGCATGGTGTTTAATTGTTACATAATTAAATTTATAAAACTCATATCGGATGTTGATTTTTATATAAATTATAATATGTGACAATTGTTACAGGGTAAATCATTATTTTATATATGAAAAATATAGTTTTATATGATATAAGGCATTCGCCGGAGGCATGATATTGGTGATTTGGGGTAATTTATTAAGTGATGTATTAAAAGTATTTAACAATGGAAGTTATTATATATTTAATATTAGAATCCCGTAGGATGTCTTTTTAAGAAGGATGAAATGCTAGAGTTTTTATAGCTTTAGCGAATGCAAAAGATTCAAGAGGCTTAGGTGATTCATATATTACATAGTTAACAAATTATCAGAAAACTAGTTCTAAAGTAAGGGCTTACAATACTAATTTACAACATTATTATAATAAAAGAAAAAGGCTTTGCTTTGCTTCTATACTCATTTGTTTTACAGCCACTTTTAACTATATTTAAATCTTGATATTCAGTCTTCTTTTATTTCTTCTTATGCATCTCTTGTTCTTCAGATTTCATGTTGATTATTGTTTATCTTATTCAGCTGATAAGCCTCAATCGACAAACCAATATTTCTTAAATTACTTTGCTTCGATCATGAATTGCTGTGCCTAATTTTGTAGATCTATCATTTTAGTCTGTGATATGATTAAGCACTATGTGCATAGTACCCATTTCTACTTCACTAACAACTTAATTCACCAACAATTAATTTAAAAACAAGCTTATTTTACCAACAATTATTTCACAAAGTTTCAATTTGCTGACAGTTTGTTTCACCAATAGCTCATTTTACTGGCAAAGTAATTCTGGTCATTGTCATTATGGTCAGATTCAGAATTAGAGTTAAGGTTAGTGCAATTTATAAAAAAAAACTTGCTGGTAAAATAAACTTGTTTATAAATTAATTGTAGGTAAAATAAGCTTGTCTATAAATCAATTGTCAGTGAACTAAGTTGTTGGTAAAACGATTTTTGGTGAAATAATACTTTTTGTGCCATCATAAATTAGATACTACAGTTTGCAGCATTTGTATGAGTGCAGAATTATTGAAATTGGATCGGCAATTATCAATTTATAGAATACATGATGTGAATAGATCTTTTTGCAACTGTAAAAATGAGACATGAATAACTAATTGTAAATGTTTTGTTGTTAATTAATCATTATATTTGTCTACTAATCGATATTAATGAGAAAATAAGAAATAGAGAGTCATCTTTTTTTTAATTTAGTTGTCACACTGTTAGAGTAGATTAATGCGGAGTGATAGTAGATTACGTGATTGAAAAGTGAGACAGGACACGTCTGTACCACATGTCTTGGTGCCAATTATATAACACTAATAAGAAAACTAATTGAAAGTTAAAAATTATATGCGAAGAATGTAATAGCATATGCTAACGGCTTACAAATAAACAAGATTCAAACAAATCATAATCCTAGGCAAGAATTTATTTAATGACCAAAGAATAATGCAGAACACCTTGGTGTCAGCCAGAATAAAGAAATTTCTTGCAAGCATATATGTCCAATAAACCTAATGAATTATTGTTAAACATAGATCCTCAAGTTAAAGCATACATCAACAATGCATATCAGACAACAATATTAACAGTTATTGACAAAGTAAAGGAACTAATAAACCAACAAGCTGAAAACCAAAGATGCTGGAATGAACAGCTACAGAACACCATCAAAGATCATTTTAGTAAGTTAGAACAAATCAGTCTAATCAACAATTCTAACAACCAACCCACTGAAGAAGAACAAAGCAACCAGGTAATACCAGTGACAATATGCTCAACACCAGAAACAAGAGATGAAACACTTCAAGGTAATTATTTATCTACTCCATCCCTCAATGATATAATAACTAATTCAGCACTGCTAGAGAGAACTATATGCATATATAATGATATATCAGCGATAAAGAACAAAATCTAGAAATACCTACCAATAAACTACACAACACTTAAGCAACCTCTAGTAGTACAAGGCTTTACAAACCCCTGGCGGCTAGCATTGAAAGCAAAAGATTATAGCAGATAACTAACTGGTTTGAAGGATAGAAGGTGATCGAGATATTATCTTGCAAGCCAAATCTGTCATCAAGACTATAGAAGGCAATAGCTCTAGATTCCTATATTGATCTCTAGGATTTTGCTTTCAAGAACATGAAAGCGAGTGCAAAGTTCAATTACGAAGAACTGTCATTACAAACATCTGATAAAAGATATATAACCATTAGGAAATGGCTGATATATGGCAAATTTAGTAATATATCCGAATAGTTACTAGCATTTAGAGCATACAGTAAAGCCATCCTTATAATCTATGATGAACTTGAGCAAGAATTAAATTTTTATTGGGATCATATTAACAGCCTTTGCACCAAACATGAATTTGCCACAGTTATAACATATAATGAAGATTGGTGATTAGCACTAGTTATAGATAGAAACACAATACCATTTGAGAAAGACATTGAAGCTGAAGATGAAAATTTTGATGTAATAACAATTAAGAGAACAAAATTTAACAGGCTACGTCCATATAGATCTAACACAAAATGGTATAATGGAAGGGAGATTTGTATAAACTAAAATAGAAGAAATTGCAATGATGACAAAAAATGCGGACATATATATGCATATTTGACCTGCAAGAAAATAGGCCACCAGGAGCATAGATATTTTACTAGCAACTCAGGGACCAGCCCAAGGTCCAGGCCAAATAACAACGCTGAAAGTCATACCTGAAAAAAAAACTACTAAATCGATTAAAAAAAAAAAAAGGAGGAAAGAGAAATAGTGAGAGAAATATATACATACATAAAAAAAAAAAAACTGAGAACTAATAACGATTAATTTATAG